GCATACTAATCTGATCTAATCTAGCCGTAATGAAAGCTTATTCACTAAACTGTCTGCTCGCTACGCTCGTAGGGAACCTTGTCTTTCGGTTTTTTTCTTGGGGCACCCAAAATCTATCAGTGGCACTGGTATTGATGCTCCACAAGAACCAAGAAATATCTAATGTGTTTTCGTTGTGGTTTCAGCTATTTTTATCTAGCCTCGTTTTCACATTGCATTGTTTTCTTTACGTCTCTTAGTATACGTTTCATTAGCCCATATTTGGTATTTCCATTTTTGCGTGTTCTTGCTTTTCCTCGTTTACTTCCGATAGCTATAAAGGATTTGCACCCCACGTTTTGGGTGGTTATTGACTCGCCTTGCATTGCGCTGTGTTGGGGCAGTTTTCTATCGTTTACATGCAGTTTTTGGCCTGGTAGTTTCTACATGCTGTGTTTGGCCGTCGTGCAAAATTTTTATGGCTACGAGGACTAATAGATTGTAAGTTGTATGTATTATTATGTAGTTATCTTTCACTTTATTTATAAGTAGCTCATAGCTAACATTTTGTAGTCTAATTGGGTTTCTACGTAGTTCTATCTTCTGCTAACATTAATTAACCTTTTATAATTATTCTTTTTCATTATATTGTAATATTAAGCTTCTTGTCGTATTCTCAACTTATAATCTTCATGTATGTTAATTGCTAACATTTTTCTTTAGCGAACCACGTTTAACACATCACCTCAGAACCTGGGTTGTTTCTTGCTGTGTTATCTGCTGGGGATTTAGGTGTGGTGCGTTCGATATACCAAAGTAGTCAGAATTACAAATTGTGGACTACACCCTCTTTCGCGTTTAATGCAGCAGTTTACAACATTAGACAACTGTGGTTCAGCACTACCTATAAAGCGTCGAGTACTTTATGACAGATTGGTAAACAGTTATTTTCAAATATGTGTGTATCTGAAAGAATAATTCTTATGAAACGCCAGTTACATGTGCATTACCATAGAAACCTGATCCATGACTACTAGCCCACAACTTCTCATATCATATGATATTTCACCTTTTGAGATAACAGAAGACAGCTCGACACGAATCCATGGAAGTTTGGGATTCAAATATTTAATATCTGAGTTAATTTAGCAAATTTTTATTGCAATGTAGTTTTTCTTTAAGTATATCATAACTTTTATTTTTACGGAATGGATATAGTGTAAAAATTACATTAAGTTAAAAAATCAAATGAAATGGATCAATGATGGGTAATGATACTAAAGACAAGAAATTTAAGCAAAAACAATAACAAGGTTCTTTGGCAGTGAAGAAATTATAACAAAATACTGGTATCAGAAAACGAGAAAACCGCACCTTTTGTAGGTATGGCCAAAGTGACGGCATTGTGCTTGTGTACTCTGAAAAGAGCAAAACTCAACAAAGTAAACGAAAAGAGCCATTGAAGATCTAATTTGATATTGCTTGTATATAGGGAAACTCTTTTTAAAATATGGAATATTAGAAAAAGGGAAACTATAATCTTATTCTGTTTTGTATATAGTGAAACAGTTCTAAAATATGATACTTTTGAAATAGAGAAACTAAAATCTAATACTCCTTGGTATATAGGGAAACAGTTCTAGAAATATGATATATTAAAAATAGGGAAAATATCATCTTAAACTGTTTTGTATATAGGGAAAATGTTCTAAAATAAGACACTTTTGAAATAGAAAAACTATAATCTAATACTCCTTGGTATATAAGGAAAATGTTCTAGAAATATTATATATTAAAAATAGAGAAACTATAATCTAATACTAATTTGTGTATAGGGAAAATCTTTTAAAAATGTGATACTTTTGAAATAGGAAAACCATAAGCTTCGGCTTATCTTCATACCTCTTTGCATCCATTTCCCTGTTCGCATTCATATCCATCCAAGTAATTTTTACCGAAAATTACTTTCACAATATTAGTTTCATAAAAATATCACTCTGTTTTCTTACCTATTGAACTGGAAAAGGAAACCAAATAAATAATGTATATTGCCTTCCATTTTGCTTTGTAGGTTTCCAACGACACCAAGTCATCGATGCCATGTGTTCCAAAATTCTGGCATCTTTTGGACGAACTGATCAGGAAGATTGAAAAAATTGTTTAATGAAGATAAGTGAGTTCTGTCTAGATAAAACATCGGAAGTTTTGTTTGCAAAATTTGGCTTTTGATTTTTCATAGCAAAAAATGCACTTAATTATAAGGTATGCATAGTTGTACACATTGTAATGATGAAAAATCATTTAATAAAGTTTGTATCAGATCTTTCTGGTTTTCCTGTTTTAGGGCTTGATACAATTAGTTATAACAACCATTGTAAATAATTATTTTAATTTTTTAATACTAAAATGATTTTTTTAGACATGGTCGCTTAAGCAATGAACACGTGTTGCAGTATCTCTGGAAAAACTTTAGGTTTTGCTTTGAAATCAATCCTATACAGGATGAACCGTAGATTATACGAATTGCAGGATCTACCTGAGAGTGAATTAACCAGACTGTCAGTGAAAGAACTGGTGACGACTACGTGAAGCAAACATATACCTGGAGAACGGTCTGCATGATTTACAGCAATACTCAAGAAGGAACAACCTCGAACTATCTGGGTTCGCAGAATGTAGGGACAGCGAAGGAGAGGAAACCAAACTACAGGAATCTTTTCAAGACCTGGGAGTAACCATCCACACCGGAAACATCGAGGCTGGCCACCGGATACCGACCAAACGAAAGGATATGAAGAAACCGTTGATTGTAAGATTCGTTAACCGACGCAAGCGTGATGAAGTTTTCGCAGTAAGGAAGCAGATCAAGGGAAGAAAGATCTTTGTTAACGAGCACCTTTCACCGCACAATCGTTGGCTATACACCCTGGCCCTTGAAGTTGAAAGGAAAAGCGGCTATAGATTCTTGTGGACTATTAATGGTACACCATGTTTGCGGAAAAGTGAAAATAGTCCGGTTATTAAAGTGTCTTGTCCTACAGTCTTGGATGGTTCGTAAGATCTAATATTCCATGCCTTCTAACATAAAAGTGTAACCATAGTGTTTTTTTAAGGAATTTGTGGTATCATTTGCACATTCATTTTCCAAAGAGCGCTGCAACTCTTTAACTCTTTAATTACTAATAAAATTTGCATACCATTCAACCTTGTTTAAATAATTGACGTGTCAAATGCCATAAACCAACGAGAAAAAACCTAACACTGCTGCCAAGGAAAGATGCTGTCGTTGCAATAGACGTGTACACGTTCGGAAAATTGAATGTGGTAATTGTAAACTCCCTTCCCATTTAAAATGCGCACAAATCTCAATAGAGGCCTATGCACGCTTATGCTCTGAAAAGAAAGAATGGATCTGCAGGAAGTGCATGTGTAAACAAATGCCGTTTTTTAGTGTTGTTGACAGAGACCTTGACTATAACTTTGATCTCACGTTCACAAAGTGTCTTGAAAGCCTCCAATTTAACCAATCTGTAACCATCGACTCCTTATTGGACAAAATTCCTGGTCACAAATTCTCAACAGATGATTTTATTGACGATATGATCACCTCGAAATACTACACTCCCCATGAATTTAAGCAGGCTCGACTGGGCTAAGCTCTCTGCGCTATACTGGCACTAAAGCAATTAATGCATCAAAAAACGATCCTCTCTTTACAAATATTACAAATAAAAAACACCTTAAGCGTATATTTTCCAATAAGGCTTTTGATTCTTATTAAACAACCATATGTCCCCAAACTATCCTTGAGCGTTTCTGACAGCAGCTCTTTCTTCCCTTGTAGCAGTTACATTTAAGAACTGGTAACCTCAGTTGGTATGTCTGGATTTGCCCGATCGGCCGGGTAGGGGTCTATGAATTAGCTCTGCTATAAGATTCCTTCCCAACCATTTGGTCCTTTCTTAAAATTTTCAATTTTATCAATTTAATGATTTGGTATCATAGATTATGGTAATGAAACATTGAATTAAAGTTAAAAACATGGCAAATAGACTTATATGCATTCATCCATTAATCATAATCATAAACATACATTATAAAAATATGTTTTTTATTTAGAAAACGATTATCACTATTTGGCTTCACCTTTCTGTCTCGTTCACTAAATTTTTCTTCTTAGCATCGAGAAGATTTTCCGCCATCTGAGCTAATTGATCGTTGTAGCTTCAAAATTCTGTGAATAAAGATAGCACTACTCTATTTATTGAAAAAAAAGCATTAAGAAATCAACTTTCCATACAATCAATTAAAAGAATTTTTTTTAGGCAATAGTGGAATAAAATGTACCATATCTTTCTCCAAGTAACTGTGCTTTGTAATCCCTTGAATATACCCCTAGCCTCAGCTTGGTTCCTATGTCTTTATCATAGAAGACATATATGAAATATAATATGGGAATTTACTCCGAGAAATCGGTCATTTTCCAAGTTGTACAAGGAATAACAGATTGGCTTAGAAAATAGGTTGAGAAACCTGATATAGAATAACTTGGTGCCAGCGCAAATTGATATAGTTTTATTTTTTTCAATTGCCTTAAACTTGGCTCACAAGGTGTATTTGTTAACAGTGAAGTTCTCAGAAACATTACAAAAAGAGAAAAATAACTGTTGAAGGAAAAGAAACTGATGAAAATTTTTTTTGAGGACATGAGAAAGAAAGAATGGTCAGATTTGTTCTATAAAAGTAGCATCAAGAATACTTTGGTTGTATTGATGATCAATTCCTACTAATAAAGATCTAGATACAATCATAGATTCTATTAAAACTTTTTTGACAAGCCCAGTTTGAAAAGTTTAAAATCTAGATTTTTGGTAAAGCACCTTATTTTCCAAAATGTTCAAGATCAGATGTTACAAAACAATATTCCATGTATAAAAATTGCTTAATTTGCTTTTTTATAGTTGATAGTTCTTCTGTTTTTGGTAAACCTTGTTTCTTTTTTTCTCCTCAATCGTATTTTGGGTACTTTTAAGATCTAAAAAAGAGTTTCATTACAAGCTTTATTATAAAGGTTATTCTAAAACTTTGCAAGACCTATTCTTTTTCCAAGTCAAAATCATAACAGACGAAACTATTAGACATAATGATTAAAGAAAGCTTAAATATATTGCCTCGGATTTTCCTTCAGTCAAAATCCATTTTAGATTCAGTCTCTAGCCATCCCTAAAGTACTTAAATCTACAATTTTTTTGCTGCCAAAAGGGTGGCGGCCCAACGTAAACTCTTTAAAGACTTTCATATTTCCCCCCTCCACTTTCAAATACGTTTCGCCGCCCCTGGAAACATTCGTATGGATGGATTTCAGGCCCTATTTTCTAGTCTATCAATATTGGTTATGTATATTTATAAGATTCCCCGAATGTCAGGCAAATGGCAAGTTATAGCAGGTTTATCATCGGCTAAAAAAACGTGATATGTAAAAACAGAAAAAAGCTGTGCTTTTTATGTTGAATGGTCTGGATGCCATTTGAAACATTTTTCCAGTACGTCAAGATGTCGAGTTTAACATTGATAGTTTCATTTTTTGCAGCCTATTCGTTTTGTGTAGGGGTGTGGTGTGTTAAGATGTGAAGGAGATAGAACAACGCATGGGTTGAACAGAAACAAAACGATAACTTTATATTAACTTCAAACGGCCTACACACATAACTGTAATACTGTCAACTGTAATCTGAAACTATATAAACATGGGTCACATAAAGTAATGCTCCTGCGCATAGTCAATTAGGTTACTACATCACTCCTCCTTTTAAAGAAGTTTTTTTCGTATACTGTTTACAAAGTGTCCAATGGTATTGGTTCACCATATCGTACTGGTGCATAACGTTTTCTAACTAGTCTTTCAGCAGGTCTAGGAACCTCTTGTTCACAAGCGTATGTGGCTCGTTTGATTGATTGGCATCTTCGGAATCCGACATCTGAGCGCGTAATTTTTTAAAAAATGATACGTTGCGAGTTACACGACGATGATTACTGTCTTCTGCAGTTATCTGCGTACCTTTACGGTTTACGACTTTGTATTGCGTTTTGCTGAATCGTGTCGTTAGTTTGTCCCTTTTTTGTTGGCGGACAAGAACAGTATCTCCAACTTGAAGGTTGCTCTTCCTTGCTTTTCTGCATATGTTTCTTGGTATGATCGACTGCGTTCCTCGTTTATTCTAGCTTCTTTGTGTCGATTTATTACGCGATTGTTCTCTAAAGTAGGGAATTTTCCTTGTACTTTCCTGTTGAATAACAACTCTGATGGCGCAATTTTCGTTGTGCTGTGAGGTGTATTACGATACTGGAACAAGAAACGGTTCAGTTCTTGTTGCCATACCTTACCATCTGCCACTGCGCTTTGTACGGCTTTGATGAGAGGCTGATTAAAGCGTTCGACTTCTCCATTTGCCTGCGGCCAGTAAGGTGTGACAGGTTTATGGTTTATACCGAGGATATTTACATATCGTGCAAACTCTTCACTCGAGAATGGTGGACCGTTATCTGTCTTTAATTCACGTGGTATGCCGTGTACCGAAAATATTTTGTCCAGCTTCGGAATGACAGTTGATGCTTTCGTGGATCGCACAATTTCGGTTTTCGGAAATCGCGAATAACGATCAATGACGACTAAAAGATGATCTCCTGAAGGAAGCGGTCCACAGAAATCGATATGAACAGTTTCCCATGGTCCTTTAGGAAAATCAGTTTGTTGCAGAGGTTCTGGTGGCGATGGTTTGCCGACAATTTGACAAGTCAGGCACGAATCTAGGGTATGCTGAACTAGGTTGTCCATACCTGGGAACCATACTTTTTCTCGTAATAGACTTTTTGTTTTGGAAAGACCTTGGTGAGCTTCATGGGCAATATCTATAGCTCGTTGCTGAAGTGACTCTGGTATAACTAAACGTGTTCCTCTCAAAACAATTCCCTTCGCACCAACAGTGAGCTCATCGTTGATTGCACAATAAGGCTTTAAACGATCAGATGCTTGCCATCTATTTGTTCGTATAGCGGCTCGCAATGCTTGCAATGTCTTGTCAGTGTTGGTAGCACTCGCTATTTCGTCTAGCGACATAGCTTTAGGCACAGAGTGACTCGTAATCATGTTTACGTACTCCTCCGCAATTCTTTCTTGTTTTCGCGATTGTTGACTGGAGGGGTGTCTGGATAGATAATCAGCAGAGTTCTCGCTTCCTGCCTTGTACTGCACTTTAAACGAATAAGGTTGTAGTCGCAAAACCCATCGCTCAATCCTCGCGGACGGCTTAGAGGTTGAACTGCCGTAAATGGTTTCCAAAGATTTGTGATCTGTAATCAAAGTAAATTCGTTGCCATATAGGAACAAATGAAAATGTTCTACGGCCCAAACGATGGCTAGAGCCTCTTTTTCCGTTTGCGAGTATCGTTTCTCAGTATCGGACAGTCCACGACTGGCGTAAGCAACAACCTTGTAATCATCACTGTTCTTGGTTGCTTGACTCAAAATTGCGGACACACCTACGGGACTTGCGTCCACCGTAACGAAAGTTTCTTTATTGGTATCGAAATACGATATAACGGGAGCTTCAGACAGAGCCAATTTTATGTTTTCAAATGCTTTCTGTTGAACTGCTTGCCATACGAATGGTGTATTCTTTTTTGTCAACTCTCGAAGTGGTGCAGTGAGCGTCGCAAAATCTTGGATGTACTTAGCACTATAGTTTGCCATTCCGAGCAGGCTTCGTACCTCTTTGATGCTGGTAGGTATTGGTGCATTCTGAAGATCGCTTATGCGTGCTGGATCTGGCTGCGTACCATGTTCTGTGAAAATTTGTCCATAAAACTGAATTGATTTCTGTAGAAAGTTACATTTCTTGAGATTTAGCGTAAGGCATTTTGAATGCAGACGTTGCAAACAATTTTGCAAAGCTAAATCGTGTTCCTTGCGAGTTTTGCCAAAAACTACGATGTCATCTGCGATGTTCAGCACTCCATTTATACCTTGTAAAGTTTCTTGTAAAACATGCTGGAAAATTTCCATAGCAGCATTTGTCCCATAATTGAGACAAGTGTATCGATAAAGTCCTACGTGTGTGCTGAAGGTAGTGATAAAACGACTGTCTATGTGTAATGGTAGCTGGTGGTAAGCTTGGTTTAGATCCAATTTACTGAAATATTTGGCACCATTGAGTTGAATGCTGATATCATTCAATGTAGGGATCGGATAACGTACACGTTTTATTGCAGTATTTGGCACACGCATATCTACGCAAAGACGAACAGATCCATCCTTTTTCGGTACTACGACGATTGGAGATACCCACTGCGAAGGCGCGTTTTCTGGTACAGCTTCAATGATCCCCTCTTTTTCCAGCTGGGTGACAACCAGCATTACGATCTTTTAGGACATAAAATGTTGCAACTCCATAGCGAGATTTTGTTGTGATCATCGATTCAAATTTTCCTATAAAACAAACTGGTTTCGAAGAGTTGAATGGAAAAGCTTTTATTTTGGTTTGTTGTAACTTGACTCCGTGCATCTTTTCGAAAGTATTTCTATCGATAACGTTGATTGTGGATCCGGTATCCAATATCATGTTGAACTTGTGACCCTCGACCACAACATTAACCACAGGGCTGCGTTTTGATAATTTGTCGTTGCCATTTGAGACCGTGTACAGGTATTCCTCGTCACTAGAATTATCCTCATGCTGCAAAGGTCTCACCGCTGCATGTGATTTGCGAGAATGTGCAGGACGTCTTTGTTTCTGCTTCGAGAATTTTGAGCTCCTACAAACTGATTGAAAGTGGTTCGGTTTGTTGCACTTGCGACATGTTTTCCCTTGTGCGGGGCATTGATTTTTGTGCGGCCATTCTCCTCCACAATTGTTGCAAGTCTTGTTATCAGACTTCGATTGCAAGCGGTTCGTTGTTTCTGTGTGTACGTGGGTTGTTTCTATATCTCGGGCTTGATACGAACTGGTTTCATCCCGTCTTCCATCGATTAGCATGTCTTTAAGGGTATACGTAGGGTCACGCAAAGCTCGGCGTCTTATACGGGAAGATCGACCCCCTATAATTATTTGTTCCTCGATTTCAAAGTCTACATCTTCGAATTCGCATGTACTGGATATCTGCCTGAGTCGTGTATGAAAAGTATCGAGCGATTCTTGATCTCCCTGACGAGTTTCACGAAAACGATAAACTTCATACCGTCGATTTTTCTGAGGCTCGAAGTAC